GAGTTTGGATATAAAGTCATCAGATAGATTTCAATAGTAATGTTTATCACCTCTACAAATTAACATGAAGTGAATTTTTATGCTTGCTCCTCAAATATAACTCATTTTTAAATTTGTTGCCTAATGTGTGTGTATATATATCATACAGAACATTGCAAACCATCTTATTTGACTATACACCCACTTCCCAGATGGCACCCTCCCATAGCCTCTCTCCGCCTACTAGAGCCCTTATACTCTGATATCCCTGCTACTGTCTGCTGTGTTGTCAGCACCCCCAGCCATTCCCCACTACTTGCCCTTCTGGTGGTGAATCTAGTCAGCCTATCTAGAGGTCTTTGTTTTAGGAGGGTCAGCTGTTCCTCTTCTAGCAGCAATCAGTTGTCAGTATTCCTTTAGATAAGATTTCCTTTAGATGAGATTGGGGTCTGCTGTTCATATTCCCAGTTCTATGCTGGGTTACTATTTGGGAGTCCCTTTGGTTGCCCTGGCCAACAACTCAAAAGAAGGTATTGCCTGTCTGGCATTGTTGCTTGTTGAAACAATTGAAAGCCCTGTGTAAACAGTGCTGCTTTGGAAAGCTGTGTCTAACGGGCTCTTGCAGGAAGTTCTGGAGAAGGCTGTCCAGTGCCCTTAGAATTGGTCCTTGGTAAATTTTTGTGATGGTTAAGCTTCTTTGTCAACTTGACTGGATTTAGAATCACTTAGGAGACATGTCTCTGGTCATGTCTGTGAGGGTTTATTCAGTATGGGAAGGCCCACTCTGAACGTGGGCAGCACCATCCCATGGGCTGAGGCCCTAGATTGAATAAAAAGGAAAGTGAGCCAAGCACCAACATTCATCTCTCTCTGCTTCCTGACTGCAGGTGTGATGTGTTCCTGTTGCCATGCCTTCCCCATCAAAATAAACTCTTCCTTCCTTATACTGCTTTTTTCTGGTATTTTGTCACAGCAACGAGAAAAGTAATGGCTACGATTTTCTTATGCTGCATCTAGACATTGGTTTTAGGGCATTTGGTGGGTCATGGGAAGATCTATCTGTGGACACACTCAGTGATAGGGGCTTGCTCCCAGCACGTGCTCATTCATTGCCTTCCCTTTACCCGGGTATGTGCCCTGGATGTGGACCAGTGTGGGAGAAGGGCTGCAGCCATAGTCACTTCTGGCATGGGGACTATGAATATGCTCTGTGTCTTCAAGGGCTATGATTGGCTCTAACCTGATGTGTAGCTTTTATTTCTTTAAAATTGAAATTTGTATTATTTTTAAAAGTTAACTCTTCGGCATTGATTTATCAGATCTGCATCTCTAGTGCTAGAGGTGTAAGCTCATGTAAGCTCAGTTGGTAGGGCATGCATAAAGCCCTGGGTTGGTTCCCAGCACCACATGAACAGGGTGTGGTGACCCATGCCTATTATACTAGCACTTGGGAGACAGAAGTAGGAGAATCCAAAGTTCAAAGTCATCCTTAGCTATATAGAAAGTGAGAGGTCATCCTGTCTCAAAAATCAACCAACCAACCAACCAACCAGCAAAAAAGAAACCTACTACTTTAGAACCCATCAGACTTGGCAGTTTTCTCCCAAATTCAAACTGAGCAGATTTCTCTCAAAGGATTACCATGATTTAAAAAATAACATCAAGTGCCCTTCTGGGTATGTATGGATCACAGTTATGACAGCTGTGGCAGTTTGTAACCACAGCCCTAGAGCTAGAACAAGGTGATGTGAGCGCGACAGGAGATGCAAGCGCATGTGGAAAACAGTCCTCAGCCCTGAGTGGCTCAGGTAGAACTGGGCATGGGCTGGATTGGAGACACTGGGTTACCTTTTTGAGCTTCATGGTCCTTTCTTCCTCTCTCATCTCTTTGGATTTCCAGCAGAGGCGCTGAGACAGAGATTGGAAGACCTGGAGCAGGAGAAAGGCGGCCTGCCCTGGGCGCTGCCTTCACAGCAACCGGCTCTTGGCAGCTTCTTGGGCTACCTGGCCGCACAGACCCAGGTGGCCTTGTCTGGAGCCACTCAGAGGTGAGTACCAGTAGATAATCCAGGGTCCCCTCCTGGCTCTCCCTCTCCCACTCCCATGCCTTCAGGAGCTGGGAGGCCCTGGTCAGACTTTTCCTGGAAGGGGCCAGGTGGGTCTGTCCAGAGGGAGGTCCAGGTGGGTCCTGCTTTCTGAGAAAGAAGTCCTGCTGACTGATGTGGAGAGAATGGACAAGCACAGGGTAGCCTGATGCTGGGCTCCTGTTGGGTGTGTGGGGACAGGCCTTGCTGATTGCAGGAAGAAACCTGGTCCTTCCTGAGTCCACCTCCAGCTCTTGAGTGAATCTGCTGTCTGTGCCACCAAAGGGTCACCTGGTGCTGGCAAAGAAGCTGCCCCTCATGATCTGGGGGAGTGGGGATTGGTTCCAGGTCCCATAGGCTACCAAAACTCGCAGATGCTCACGTCTCTCATATCAAATGGTATATCTGTATATAACCTACTTCTGTCTTCCTGTGTGATTTAAATCACCTCCAGTTGACTTATAATACCTGCTACAATGTAAATGAAATGGCAGAAGTTATGATATACAGTTTAAGGAGCAATAGCAAAAATGAAAGCACTTTGTTTGCAATAGCTTTAATCTGCAGTTGGTTGAGCCCATAGTTGAGAACCTGTGGACATGCTGGTCCTCCACATAGAAGTGGCAGTAATTTATGACCTAATGGCCCTGGCTGCATGCTGGTGTCACCTGGGGAACACTCAAGTCCATAGCTGTTCAAGCTCTGCCCCATAGGAGCTGAATCAGACTGTGATGTGGGTCCTGGTGCTAGTGTATCTAAAGGCATTGAGACCCATTGCTCTGGCCTACTCCTGTCCCCTTTCCACTGGGTAAGGCCTGAATGGGGACAGGCAGTTTTCGATGCTATGAGCATAATCAGGATTCAGGTCAGCTTCTACACGGGCAGGAGACCAGCCACAGCCATCAACCTGTTTTTTGCTACCAATTGACCCTGACAGCCACAGTGTTTCATGCATCAGGTTTATCTCAGTGACTTCCTGAAGCCTGTTTAAACAATGTTGTCAGATATTTTCTGTTTTAGGTGTAGCTTGTGATGGACCTTTTGTAGAGATACATGAGGCTGAATGAACTCTTATCTGGTCCTCTTGTGGGGAGGAGCCCATCTCTAGATGTCTGTTGTGCTGGATAGCTTTAGTGTCAACTTGACACACCTGGGTTGAGGGAGCCTCAATTGGGGAATTGCCTCTATTGGACTGGCCTGTGGCCATGTCTGAGGGGA